CTTCTGACAATGTCCAACAGCTCTAAAAAGTGCAGTGAGCATTTTTTTACAAAACCCATGTTCCTTCTCAATATTTGCTCTTCATTACTGAAGGCTTCCTGAGGAACCCAGGGCAGTTCAGGGCATGTTAGGCAGGGAGGAGAAGGATCACCAGAAGAAGTAACATTTCTCCTGTTTGGTCAGGTAAATAGGGGCATTTTCCAGTGGGTACTGCTTTTAGCTCGTAATTCACCTGCACATACTCGGACAAACACCAGTGACAAAACACAGGGATGAGAAATGCCTTTCAGCCAAAACCAGAAAGAAGTGTTGCATGAAACCAGCAAAATGAAAGCACAAACCTCTAATTATTTTAATATTGGATAGTGACAGTGTTGTTCTGCGTTAGGAGCACAAACAACCCTTGGCCACAGGTCATGGTTCACTGCCATTTTAGAAAACAGTGGGGCCGGCACAGTGCTTTCTCTGGACAAACACTCAGGTAATAAAAAAAAAAATGAACTTAGCGATACATCAGATGAACATGCATACCCACAAGCAAGCAGTGGGTGACATTTTGCTGGACGGGCAGAGCTTGCTGGGTGTTGTTTTGGCACCTTTCCCTCTCATCCCAGAAGGTGCTTCTGCAGAGCATTGGCTGTGCAAACCTGGAGTGCCCAGGCTCATAGGGTCATTGATAACCCCAGGGTTTATTCTTAAAGGACTGTCTCTTTCTGGTGGCATTACTGTCCCCAGAGTCAGTAGTGTGTGCACCATCATCAGAGGGGGAAAACTGCTCAGCAAAGACGCTGGATGTCATCTCAAGGAGGAGAGAGAGCCTAAGTATGTAGGAGAGAGAGTTGTGCATATAAAGGAGATTCAAGGGAAAAGAAAGAAGGAAACAAATACCAGAAAATAGATAAAATAGAAGAGAATATGCATCTGTCTGGTATTTAAGCTGTTGTCCCTGTGAAGTGCACATTCAGAACCAGGTGTGTGTTAGGACCACGCATGTGTGATGGTACCGTGCAGTGAATATACTCCCAAAGAGTGTGGAGACCCCATTTAAAGCTTCATCCAGAGCATCTTCCATTCCACCTCTTCAGACCCATACATATTCTTAATATAAGCGCCATAACCCGCACCACTCAGTTATTCAATGTCATTTATTGTGGCTAGCTCTGATCTGATGGAAGACTTGAGCCTTTTTGCATTGAGCTGCACCTCATCTCACTCATTGCTCTTGCTGTGCAATCAGCTCTTTATCAGGTGGGTTGATGTGGGTCTGGGATACTCTGGATAAAGAAAAACCTAAATAACGCTGGTACTGCCATTTCCACCTTGCTGTTTCTACCTTAACAGGCCATCCGCTATCCTGGGTACAGGCAGGCATGTTAACTTGGATACCTGCTGCAAGGGCAGGGAGAGCCAGCTGGGGCGCCAGGGCAGGTTATCTGCAATGCCAGAGCTCGTGAACCTTCACAGAGCCAGCTCATCTCGGAAAAAGACTCTTAACAGCAGTTTGCTTCCTGATTCTTCTTTGGGGAAATCATCTTCCCTTTCCCGCAGCTGAAGAAAACATTAACGACAAAGTGTCACAGGAGACAGCAGCAAGAGATAATTTGTGTCATGGTGTCAAAGTGGAATAAATTAGATTGAGCAGAGTGTCACTGTGTACCTGGAATAAAGCTTTGACTTCAGAGGAACCACTTCAGATTTGTATTAGAATAAATGAGAGCAGAGCTCTCTGGCTCCTGTTTTACACAGCAAAAAGGGCGTTTTCTCGTTAGCACATTGCAGCTGCACTCCAAATGGGATGGATCTATTAATAGAGTAAGTGGGCAGTCAGATATGTCCTTCAAAAACCTGCACGGGGCTGTAATTCTTCAGTTCCTAGCTCACATGTTGCACCATCCAGGGAAATTGTAGGGCTGGAATGGGTTTCACTCCTAGTGTGATGAACAAGATTTTTTGCACATTTACATTTCTTCTCTCAGTACCCATGCTACTATGTGTAACTGGAAAATTAATAAAGAGTTTACGGCTAAAAGGAGAGAAATAAAAGGAGGACGAGAGCTGATGCACAGTAAGTCAATATAATCAGGAGGCATTGATCAGTGGAACACAAAACACTTTCATTGCCTTCAGAGTCAATATTGCAGGGGGAAAAATAGATGTACACAATTGTATACACCCAGCTTAGTCACTAAACACTTCACAGGCAAAACTCAATTTTTCTAAGTGATTTAGAGCTTGGTTTTTTTCATTTCTTTAGGATGAGTCTATCAGTTCAGAAAAACAGGTAGGAGTCAGGGTCTCCGGTGTTAATACTGACTTTTATTGTGCTCTTCTTTTTGGCATTCCTTCTGTACCTCACAATGAGCAATATTTAGTTCAGATCTCATCAAAGACTGAATATAGACCCTACTCAGTAATGAGCAAATCTAAAGATACCCTCGAAGCAGTAAGAGAACTGTGTTTAATATAGCTTAACAGTATTTTTTTTCTGTAATGGCGAGAAGCATTAGTCTTTGGTTAAGTGCTTCTGCAAACATAGACGAAAACAGTGAACGTGTCCCAGACAGTTTAAAATTTATGTAGTAGAATGAAAGACAATTGGTTTCTGTAGCAAAATGGAAAAGCACAAAACTAATACAATATTGGTTCTTCTCATTGTGCACTTGCTTGAAAAGCTATCAAGCGTTCAGTGGAGAATGGCACTAAGAGGTGTTTGAAATTAACAGAGACAATGAAGTCAAGGTGTCAAGTCTAGACACTAAATGATAAGTGATAGATGAAGTATGGTAGGATGGGATAGGCTTTGGAAAGTGAAGAGGAGAAAATTAAAAAGGTCAGTAAAGGAAGGTATAGTGCTGGGGAGACAGTACAGATGAGAAACTACAGAGGTGAGCCTTGCACATCGCCCTGGAGGGCTATGAGTCAGGCAAAATCAGAGAAAAACAGAATCAAAATCAAGGATGCTGAGCCCTAATGAGAGTGTTAGCTATGTGAGGATAGGAAAGGTGGTACCTTAGAGATGTTAAAGAGTAAGAGTCTATAAAAACACCAGGCAACCGGGACATGAGATTTAGGGGAAGGGTTCATCATAAGCATCATTATGAAGTTTCCTTATTTGCTTCTTAACTCTCTACATAAGCTGGCAGTTCCCCCCCAGGTGCCCCAGCCACCAGTGAAAGTTGCTGATGGTCTTGAAGTTATTCTAGATTTAATTCTTTGAATGCTTTAAATGCCAATAGGCCTTGTGCCTTTGCCCTGTCTGAGGACTGTCCGACACTTACTTTGTTCCTTTTTCTTGGAGTTGAAGCACCACCACAAAAGAACATGGTGAATTGCTGTTGCCACTGATGTCACTTGAAGTTTGGGGCATTGGGTTCAGTGGGTTCAGCTCGCTTTCCCTCCTTTTTGCAATCTGTATTGTAATGAAGGTTCTCTGCCCAAGATGACTCTACGGGCTTTTTAAAGATTTTCACTGGCTGTGAGTCAGTGGTGAAGACTTCCTTGCATCCTCTGACACTGGTGGTATTAAATTTGCCACCTGGGGACTGAAGTCCCAGGCTTTGCCCCTGTGCTTTTGCAGCCACCTTGCAATGCTGGTAGTCCTCATGGATGCAATTCATCTGACCACAGATGCCAACATCTAGATCTGAACAACTGTTGAGATTCTTTCACTATTAATGCTTTACTGTAACCCTACAGTAACTCCTAAAATAGATCTTTGTCATTTTTTTCCTTAAAAGCGTCTGTTTCTCCTACTAGAAATAAATGCAGTCTCAGGTCACATATACCTCATGGACATCCAAAGTCACTTGCGATGAATTCCACCCTACACAATCAATCTTTCATAGTGAGATTAGAGAATGAAGAGGAGAGACAGCAGGGTGGAGAGTGGAATATTTTGCATCTTTGCTTTCACTCATGTGCCCCTTTCATTAATGTTTTTGTAATCAAGTCATCCTTCCATCTGGATGTTGAGTACAAGGCAACAGCAGGTGCCTGCTGGAGGGGGGGTGTTTTCAGTTGAAGAGACGGATCTGAGCATATTCCCAGCATGACTAGGGCCAAATCTAATCTACCAAGTAACATACATGTTTATACATTTTAGTGTTTGCATATATTTTAATGGTTATTACTGTCACATTTTCTACAAAAGAAAGTCCCTTTTTCCTCGGTATGAGTCTTCTCCCAGTTTAATTTTAATGTTTCTTCATACTCTTCATTGTGGTTTTCATTTCTTGGCCCATCCCTAGTGTCTCTTCTACCTTTCTCTTCTCCTCTGCCAAAATAAACCTTCAGTTTCCTTTCCATATTCCCACTCTCTCCTCCTTGGAATTGTGTTTTTCTTTCCTTGCTTCCTCCCTTGGTCACAACTCTTCCTTCTTTCCAGCCTTTCTACCCTTCTCTCTCTTTTTTCCCCTGTCTTCTTGGGAATCTTCTTTCCTTCCTTTCTACCCTTCTTTCTCTTTTTCTACCCTTCTCTCTCTTCTTTACCCTGTCTTCTTGGGAATTTTCTTTCCTTCCCTTTATTGAGAATTTTCTTCCCTTCCCATTCCCACTCTCCTCACCCAGCTCTCCCAGCAGCATGCTTTGGAGCAAAGTTCATGCCATTTTAACGGCCTCAACCCATTGTGCAGAAGATGACTTCACACCAATGGCCAGACTTCTCTGTGCCACCACCTTGTGCTTCAACCACATTTTTTGCCATGCACCTACTGTTCATCATTGCACGATTGTACCCCTGCTGTTTCCTGACTTTCCTCTTCTGCCAAACTGTGCACAGCTGAAATAGTTGCAGCAGTAAAAAGGTCTCCGCTGCTCCGATCTCTGTGTCCTGGGGGACCAAGGCATTGACCACTGGATCACTGCCTCAAAATAATCAATAACGCTGGGTGACATGCCAACCTCACACTGGCCAACCAGGGATAACTTGGGGTATTTCCTCATTCTCCAGAGACAAATAGCTATTTGTTTAAAAAAGGCTGTTGCCCGAAAACATCGCTGTGCCTCCCTCAGACCGCCACGCTCCAGGAGAGAGGAGGTGGAAAGCCTGAAACCCGCTGCGGGAGCCCTGGAGCCTGGAGGCCATCTTAGACCTGTGTAGAAGGTAAGTAAAGGTATTTACTTGCTTCCTTCAGCATTAAAAACGAAAATTTCTAAAACCCTAGTTAAAAATTAGAAGCTAGCTCTAGCCAGCTTGCTTAACAAAGCTATAGAAGAGCTTTTGTTTGCTGAATTAATAAAGTGTTTTGAGTGCTTCTGGCAATCCAGAGTGCTTTCCTAAGCTCTAATAACATGGTCAGATCCTCTGATGTACAAAGGTGGCAAAGCGGCATGGATTTTGGTGGTAGAGGCTCTCACTAGGTCTGGTGATTGATGTTTAGGTAAGCTGTCCTTGCAGTTTGAAGTGGTATTGAGATAGGTCAGAGAGAATAGACTGTAAACCCCTGTTCTTCTAGCCAAAGCAGCGTCATGTTGCTTCGCACCGGCCGAGAATTGGGCCCTCTGGCTATGTACAGAAGATGCAGAAGAGAATTTAGAACTCACCTACAAGACTTAGTGTTTTAGAAGGAGGCCAGGCTGTGCCTGTGCTGGTTTGCTGCTCTCTGGGGAAGGGAAGTAGGTGAGGTTGGGCAAACACATGGAAAAGCAAAAGCTTGAATGAGACAGGAAAGCAGACAAGCAAAAATACGTGTAAAAAAAAAGGCAAATGCATTGGATATTTGAGAGAAAGATGGGTGAAATATCCAATATTCTTTCCATTTCCCTACGCTCCCTCCCTGCTTCATCTTTCATTTGCACATTCTCAGTCTGTTCAGATTTTTATCTTTTCGAGCTGTGGCTTTTTTCCAGAGGCTTGCAACATGCCCTGCCCAATTTTGAGCACTATATAAACAATAGGTAATAACCGTAAACCAAGAAGCATCTCTGTTAAAAATATTCCCTTCTGGAATAGTTTGATGCCAGTTAACTTGTTTTAAAACTGGATTAAAAAGTATAAAGTGATTGTAAAGTGCTCAGAAGGTAGGGCATGTAAGCACAGTGCTCTCATTAAATTCATAGCAGCAGAGAACAATGAAAATTTTTTGCCATAGAAATGCAAATTCCAAAGAAGTCTCTGGCAGTCTCAGCTACCTCACAGCAATACACAGCATCCCATACAGTCTTTCTGTTTTCCTTCTCAGCTACAGAGGTCTGAGGATATTGGTCTGTCTTTGTGCCTTACCTCACCTCTGCACTGTCTTCGTTCTGTCAACGAAGCCCATTTCAGCTTGTCTCTGGCTTTCTCAAGTATCTTCATACTGTTTTGCACCTGGGCTTTTTTACTTGGAAACCCAACCTCAATTGACTTCTGTACTCCTAGTCTGCTTAATACCTTCTCAACACCAACTTCTGTCACACAACTTTCAGGATTAGCCAACACACATGACTAAATTGAGGGACATTTCACTGTTTACTGCCTTGGTTATTACAAAAACTGTCTGCCTGTAGCAAACATAGGCATGCGTGCGTGCATGGCTGCATGTGTGCATGTGTAACACAGTTGTACTGAAATGGTTTTTATCCAGATTATCGTCCTTCTCTTACATTTTATAACTTGCTCATGGTAGAGCAAAGCCATCTTTGTCATGAACCATCAGCTTTCTCTGAGGACAGAAACCCACAGACTGGCATTTTGTATTTTTCTGCATTTGAAAGCCTTGAGCTAGAGTGAAGCTATGATCAAACATCATGAAGAAGTTGTGATCAGTTTATGCCGTGAAGTTAATGGCAGTCTGAAAGTTCAATAATCTCAGTTACAGTAGTCTGAAATTTCCGAACTGACGTGGAGAAAGATCTGTGGATCCACTTTTGTATGGAACAGCTTTTCCTGTTCAGCTATAGACCACAGCATAGGTGCATCATGAGCTGGAGTTGCTCGCTTTGGTGAAGGGGGATCTAACCGCAGCCTACATCAAATTTGTAAGGAAGTGATAGAGGCGAAAAAGTGATGGAAAAGACATAACGAGGAGCAACAGCTCTGGTTAGAGCTTGGGATATTCAGGTTGGACACGAGAAAAGACTTTTTCACCAAGAGGTTGGGGCAGCCCTCCAACAGGTCACCCAGAGAGGTGGTGGTAGCTCCATCCTTGGGTGTTTTCAAAGCTCAGCTACGCAAAGCCATGGCTGACACAGCAACCTAGTGTTGATGGTGTCAGCAGGAGGTCAGACTGGAGACCTGCAGAGATCCCTTTCAACCAGTGCTTCCTTTATATTATTTCTTTGATTTTAAAAGATGATTCTTTGATTTTAAAAGAAGAACCTGACCACTGTGAAATACTAAGCTGCTGTTTTACATGTTGTGACAGATCTCTGAAAAAGAGGTGGGATGGCTTTGTGACATGCCTTTAGCAAGTAGGCATAGGATTAGATATGCTTCTAGTTTTGGGGATATTTTAGGGAGGATGCCAAATAGCCCTGTAACCCATAGTCTTATCTACCCTTTTCTGTAGATAAGCACATCACAGCAAATGGCAACGAAAGGTTCTCTGACTCTTGCTGACAGTGTATTTTTGACTGAAATAGAGAAACTGCACCTGGTAGGGGCTCTGGTGAGGCTCCCAGTCATTTCCTGCTTTTCTAGACCTTCAGTGCAGGACATGTCAAATCAGCTTACCAAAATGGTGGTCCCAGACAAGCCAGCACAGCCCCTTCCCCTTCCACCCAAGACCTTGGCCCCACCACGAAGTCTTCTAGCCATGGTATCAGTTTGTGCAGCCATGGTTGTGTGACTGATGTTCCCAATGGACAACGCTTGTTCATTTCATACTAACACATGTTTAGTCCTGGCAATTCTAAATAAATTCAGCTAAACATTCCAGTTTTTAATAATTACATTTTAAATAAAGTCTCTGAAGGGAACAGGCTATGTAGAACAGGATTATCCATGTAAATCTAGATCACTGATATCCATGTAAGTTTAGAACATTAGTTAACACAATGTTAACTAGAACATTTCTTGCTTCAGAACTGATTCTTCTTTCATTAAAGAAGGAAACTGCTGAAATCCCATGCTCGCTGTGCTGCAGTAACCCAAACCTCCCTGTGTCTTTCCTCAGCAGGGAGCTACCATGTGCACGGGGAAGTGTTCGAAGTGCATTGGGATCACCCTGCTCCCACTGGCAGCATGTGCCATAGTCTCCAACACCCTCCTGTACTTCCCCAATGGACAAATTCTGCAGCTCAGTGAGATAACCGATCTGGTCTGGTTTTTCCATGGCATTGTGGGAGCTGGAATACTGGTAAGAGAGAAGTGCTGCTACTGCTTCTTATGGGTTTGTTTTGTTTTAAATTTGGGGCTAAGAAAACTTCTGTTAACAAAAAAAAAAGAGCCATAGAAATGTCTTCAGCATAAACATGTGATCAGCTTAACTGGGAAGTTGGGGTTCAGGACTGAGAAAGTAGATTCAAGACTGAAAAAGTTCCTAACCACAGGAATACATGGTATTCCTGAAATAAATGTCAGAACTGCAAGTCAGGAGGAAGCAATAAAACTGACTTCTCACCGTGGAGAAGCATGACTTGGGTGTTCCTGTCTCCATGAGTCAAAGCAAAGCCAAGGTCCTAAGCTCAGCTGGAAGTGGTGATTTTTCACTATTGGCTGCACCCCCTCATTACTCCTCTAACTGATTTTATTTTCACATAATTCACAAAAATCACTAAGGGCAAAACTGAAACACACTTCAGTAGGTGTTCATTAGACACCCAGCCAACACTCGATGAATGGGAAGCTGCAAATGGCTTACATCCAAAACGCCCTCCGTGTTCCCACACACCCACCTGCCTCCTTTGGGATTTGGTCTGGTTTGTAGGAGACTGTGTCTAGGTTCTGTGACCACTTCTCCACTCCACTATTCAGGAAAAATCATTTTTTTGTGAATATCCATAACCAGAAGGGCACGTGTTTGGGAATACTGATCTTTACAGCTCATTAGAAAGCCTGCTCCCTTTACGTTCTTCCAATTATCCACGCAAGTGTAGATAAAAAGCGAAATGAGTAACATGCATATGACAAGTACTGGCTGTTACGCAGCCTAGGCAGATGGTAAACTGGCACAGAGCTGGCTACCTGCACATCAAAAAATGAATGTTTAAGAATAATTAACTTCAAAAAAAGCAAATCTCATGCACAGTCAGGCTATGACGCAGCTACCACTTACGTCTATGGAAAAGCTACAATGAATGTGGTTCAGACTCATATTTCCCCAAGCAGAAACATGGTATAAGATCATTCAATAAATTGTTCTCTGCCAGCTGCTTGCCTGCTTCTTCTTCCAGCTACCTATTGCTGGGCCTGTTACTCATGCTGACCTTGAGTGTAAGTGTGAGTTTGTGGAAGGAAGCCTAAAGGAACAAGTGCAACTACAGGAGACACCTGTGGAAAATTTGTATCACTGCAAGCCCAGGAGTCATTGGCGTTCAATGAAAGGAAAGGAAGATGTTAGGCATGAAAGCATCACAGGCTCACTGAAAATGTGCCTTCTTTTAAGGCTTCCACAGAGGCTTGCTTGTGGCCAGCAGTGCATACATCAAAAATGAGAACAGCAAGTGAGAGGGGAGGAAAAATGCATTGACCTTCAAAACACAATATTAGGAGTAATTATTGATCCACGAAAAATGCTGTTGAGTGTACGTGTTTTCCAGAAAACATCATGACGCATGCCCACAGGTGAAGAGAAGGGGAAAGACAGCATCATAATCAGCTCCATTTTCCAGGTGCTGGAAGCATGGAAGAATGAGGACTGGCTTCTGGACCTCCTAGGGAGCTAAGCAAGGGGCAAGAGTGCCCATGACTGGAGCCTGGGCTGTGTCCTGACTCCACAGTGAGGACAGACCAGGATGCACGGCATTCCGCTGTGCTTCCAGGATCCCCCTGAAGGAACCTCAAGGCTGGGGAGAAAGTCATGCTGTCAGGTTGTCTGACCTTGGAGAATCTCCCTGTAACCAGGACGCAGCCTTCGGAGCCAGTTCTGCGGGGGAAACTTCATAGCAGCCTTGCCTGGCTCCGTGAGTCAGAAAACCTGCCTCCACCTAGGAACTTTGTCCATAGACTGATAGCTAGATCATCAATGTGCTCTTCGGCTGTGCAGCCAGCCCCACCCTTTCCTCCTCTCCTGCTTCTCTAATGGAAATTCATATGACGTGACAGTCTTTCTATTTCCTGATTTGAAAAGTTCATGGTGTAAAGAGAGGAAGGCTGGCTCCGTGTGTCATAATAACATCTTTCCTGATGGAAAGCCTATGTGCTACACTGGGAAATGCCTGACAGAGCTGTGGCTCACTCACAGACCTCATTCTGACGACAGCCAAATCTAGCAAATTCTCATTCCCATGTCAAAAGGCAGGTGTTTATAATCAAGCACTGCAAAAAAACAAAGCTGCCAAGCAAAGCCTTCATCCTGAGCCAGGCTAATAAAGGACACAAAAAGCTCATAGCTTCTATGGGAAACCTCCAAAGAAGACAGACAGCCCTGGAGGAGAGGGAGCGTTGGTTTGATGGGCAGAGATATTATCTCTCCTTCCAAGTGCTAGGCTGGGGCTGAGGCTGCCTTGGGGACCACCTGTGATTATTTAAGGGATTACTTCTTTCCGGGAAGAGGAACGTCCTTTTAACCTTAATGTTCTGCATCTGCAGGCCTCCACAGCTGTGGTCCAGCGACCACAGCAGGTGCTGGAGGCTGCCTCTGGGGTGTGCATAAAAGGCAACGGAGAGCATATCCACTGGAAATTATTTAGGAGCCTGCAAACTTAAGCAGGTTTCATAACTACCTACAGTTTGTCCTACCACAGTCTAACAGGAATATTCACACTACTCACATAAATTCCCCAGGCTTCATTCACCATGGACATTCTGCTCTTCCCGCCCCATGTGGGACATGTCTCCAAAAACTCATCAGGCTGTTTTTACAGCTTTCACCTTTTCTTCTTTGTTTGCTTGTTTGGCGGGAGGGGGCTGTGTGTCTCCTTCTTTCATTAACTCTACAGGGACCATTTCCTACTTTGTCAAACTTCTTTTCTCTGTGAGATGTCTACACAAGCAGTGGTGGGCAGAGGCGAGGCAGTAGGAGTGCTCTGGCTGCACAACTGGAACCACAAAACCTTTCTTGCCTTCTAGCTAACAAACTAAATGCACCTTTTCCTATCTCCTGATGCCTCTGTAAGGTGGCATTATATCCTGAGACACCGATGGTTGCTCATTCCATTGTATCAGTACAGCTTCACCTGATAATTACCATGGAGAAAGCTGAGGTGAACTGGGAGTTCCCTGTTGAGAGAAGCCCATTTTGTAGGTTTTCCAGAAGCTTAGCACAAAAAACCAGTCAGATGTGTTTCAAGAAGTTTAAGACTGATCTCCCAATTATAATCCAGAGCAGGATGCTCAGAAATTTTAAACTGACATAATTCTTACTCCAGCAATGCATCTTTTCTGAGCAGAAATTCCATTTTCTCAAAACTGACATGTTTTTTCCTGGAAAAAAACAACAAACCCCTGCTGAAAAGAAGCAGTATAACTTCAGTAGCCAGAATTACTGTACCAGAAACTTGCCAGACAGCTCTAGTTGTAATCCCATACTTCTTCCTGAGTCACTCTTCATCAAGCACCAATATCTAAGCACGTGTAACTCACAGAGAAGAGGTAGAAGTTGGTTTGCATTTGAGGAACATGATGCCCCAGCTCCTAGACTTTAAAAACGTTGCTAGCAGAAGTACTGCACACCAACTGAGCTTGTGCTTTTCTCACAGGTTATTTTGCCGGCATTAATGATGCTGGGAGCAGGCGGAGCAGGATGTTGCGCTAACAGATGTGGGGTAAGTGGATATTTATGTGTTGAAATGGAACTATAGGGTTTGCACAATAGCTCTTAAATGGCTGCTCAGCAGGTGGAAACATACAGTGACAAACCATCACACCACCATCAACAGCAATGTCAGGGAAATGCAGAAGAAGAGCTTGATTTACAGCGTCCCTGGGCTGGGGCTGAGGGCTCAGTGAGCCATCAAGAATGTTATGATCTTGCAGCCACTGATATGAGGGAAATCAGACTCAGCCAGGCAGGTGCTGGAGCTTTTAGCCACATCGCTGAGGGCAGAGTGGCGACAAAGCTACTTTACTTCAACCCACATAAAGTAGATCACAGATCCAGCTTCCTCCTGCTCAAGATGGTCTTAAAGATTGAGATGGCTGCCTGTTCCTTCTGCTTTCACCTGGTCCTGTTTCCTCCGTACCCCTCCACGGCAATTTGCTTTTCCACAGGTTCATCCCTGCTTACCTCAGTGGGGGCAGACAGGTCCCCTACTTGGCAGGTCCATGCTAAAAGCCTGCACTGCTGCGGCGGGAGCCGAGAATGCAGTGCTGCTTCCCAGAGGCTGGTCCCCACGGCAGGCTTTGACCCATAGCACGTATTTGTCCAAGGGTTATGCACATGATAAGTGCAAATGCAGTTTGGGCTCTCTGTCATCCAGAGGAAGGCCAGACAGACTTTTTCCCTTGATAATTAAGAATATTATAAAGCAACATGCTATACAGGCATCTCCATTAATCATCAAGCACTGGGCACAGACTTCTGTGTAGCTATCATTATTAGCAAGAATAAACAGACTTAGAAATATTTTTTCAGTCTGCATCCTTCCCAGAAGCAGCCTGGAATGAGAGAGTCCATACAATGAAGCATGACTCTACTATTCAACTAATATTTAGTTTGGTCCATAAGAAGACCTTTACCTCTTCAAGATGTTTTACTTAATTCAATATTCGTAATGCCAAAGTAACATTCTTCATTACGATGTCAGCAAGTACATCCCAAGGGACATGTCATTACATTGGTTTTGCCACATCATGTGCACAGCAGGAAGGATTTGCTAGCAATGGCCAAGTAGACCAGTTGCAGAGCTGGGATGTGAGCCTAGGCACCCTGAACCCAGCACCTGAGCCAGCTGCCTCTCCTGGTTTTGAGCCATGTAGAAAGCGGTGGTGAAAAACAGCTGCTCTGTGGGTGTTCCCACTCTGCGCTAAACCTGGTAAGTCATGAGGGGAAATCCAGCTCAGCTGGGCTCAGTTTACACAGTATCTCAGATCTCCCTTGTCCATCCTTCATACCAGCAGTGAATATTACAGAGCCAAGAATCAAACTTCCCCGGACTGGCTGGGCTCTCTCCTACAGCCTGCCAATGCAGGTGGTAGCACAGTGCCATCCAGCAGCCCACATCTGCAGACCCCCACGGTCCTCCACTCCCCTCCACCACCCTTTCACTGTCTGAGCCATCCCTAGCAGCAGCACACAGATGCCAGGTATCCTGTCTGCACCTTCCCATGATTGATTGGTTACCTATGAACTGGTCCTCCTCTTCCTTATTTACTGTTATAGAGGAATGCAACAGACACTGTTGAGAAAGTAGTTTGTGTGCTGTTTGATGGCCAGGTCAGGAAGCTACTCAAACCAAACTAGACAATAGGCTTCGTGAGGACAGCAGATCTTTGAAAATGCTGTCTTCTAGGACTGTGGGAATTGCCCACCTCATTGAGGTAGAAAGGAGTGCAGCTGTATACGTCAGCCTGTGATTTAAACAGAATGCGGCTCAATGTAGAGGTGAGACGGGGACACAAGCAAAGAGCATGTGCTATGAATGGCATTAAAACCAACCATTTCTCCCAGAACAGCTCCTGGGGAAGACTGATTTCCAAGCATGCAAAAAGAGGTGAGCGTTGCAGGGAGCTCTGAAGGCCAGTGATGTACTTCCTCAGGAGAAGAAACCTCAGGGAAACTTTACTTTGGGGATAGCGGGAGTAAATGCACAGACACCCACAGCAGCGTCGCTCGAACGCTTTGACTGTATGGGCTGTATGCTCAAGGTGGAGTATGGTGTGAATCACCAGGTGATGGAGAGTAGAGGAGCCCTGGGACTGTTTCAAACATGAATGATGGGAGCAGCTTCCCAAGGTGTCAGAGATCCTTACGAGATGGGTCTGGATGGACCTGACATGGGGTCCCCATCTCTTGGTGGCTTGTCCACCAGATTCTACCTACTGGTAGAGGAACAGCCCACACTGGAGCTACTCAGGAGCCTGTGTAACCCAAAGGCTAGTTTGGCCACCTCTATGCTTCAGGGACCTTAGGTATAAAGTTGTAATTTACACTGAATACTCAGCATTGCTTTTCACAGAAAAAAAAAAAAAAAGAAGGCTACAGAAACAATACTGATTGGAATTATCATTTAACCAGAACATAACAATTTTGCTCAGGGTAGGAACTCTAACCTATTACATTTTGTGCAATCCCTGGTTTAATAGTTTTGGACTTCATCGCAGCCTTTATGCACTGCCAAAGTATCAACAACAGCAATAATAATTACTAACTTTCTCATCCTTTTATTCACCTTACTGAGTTCTCCAGTTCACAGTGATTACATGCTGCTTTGAGTAAGATTTTTTGTTAATCCATTTTAAATTGTTGCCTGCAAACACATCTAGATGGCTTCTTGTCCTTGCGTTACAGAGTAATGATTCTGGAAAGTAACAGATTCAGCAAGCTTCCGTGTCTTGCAGCTTAGCATGTACATGTCTGAAAGCATCCACTGCACTGGCACAATGAGGAAAAAAGGCCCTCCAAAACACAGCTTATGTCATTGCACCAGCAAACACTCTCCAGTATGTTTCTCTCTAAGCCTTCCTTAAGAGTTACTAGTAGAACAAGAACAGTCATAGCAGCTTTCCAGACAAATAAACCTAGATAAGCAAAGATACCTGGATAACCAGACAGGATATTAATTCCACAAAAAAAAAACCACCTCCAGAGAAAGAAACAGGGAAGGAAGAAATGTGCATGAAACAAGAATCCAGGCAATAGAGAGTAGCACAAGCTGGGACAGGAGGAACTTGGTAACTTCACCAAAGCAGCTGATGCAAATACTCCAATAATGAATGCTAGAAGTCTTTCTCAGCTCGCCAGAGACAAACCAATTGTGTGAAGGCTAAAGCATGGAAATAATTAGAAGAAAATCAGCAGAAATTATCAGCAAAACCTTTGCAAGAGGTGGATAACAAGCCAACACCATGGGAAACTAATTTCAACAGACTCAAGCATCCTAGCTTAGACCTTATGTTGCAACTGAAGACAATAATGAGGAAATAATTTTCTTTTTTTTAAAGTGGTAAATGAAGATGGTACAGCTAGGGAAAATGGTGAAAGGTTGAGATGATGTGATAGTTAATAAAATTGTTGGATTTCCATAGTCTACAGGACAAGCCTCCAGAAAAGACTCCAGAAGAGTAAATATAATGGGGAAATGCCACTCTGTGTCTAGAAAATGCCCAGGAGAGCCAATCTAACAGCTGCAGCAGCTTCAGACTCCCCTTTCAGTGACAAGTAGTCTTTCTCTATATAATCAGGTGACAGTAAAGCAAACAGGTGAGATGAAGGTAGCCATACAGCCAACAGATTTCAAATGGGAAAATCACATGCCAAAGAATAGCCATCAAAGATAGCACTGATGAGTACTACTAGCACTAACTGCTATCATAAAATGTAGAAGTAGTAAAAGACCATTTGAGTTTCTCTATCATAACTGTCTTTGCAATTCCTCATACTGCTATGCCGTGCTAAAACTAATCGTTAGCATAATTAAGATCCTTCAACCAAGGTGCAGAATGCACAGTTGAAGTAAATGAGGAAACAGGTGGGGAGAATTGGTTCAGAGTAGGTAGGAGTTTCAGACGGAGTATCAGTCACTCACCTTCACCACGAGGCATGGCTGGTGATTTTATTATGAGAGACTGTTCATCAGCCACAACCCAATGCTACTTTGGTCTGGGACAATATACTAAATTACCTACATTTAGCTGACAATGAAGTCAGGATAGCGTCTAGGATAGACGTCTAGGATAGACGTCTAGGATAGCTGTGCTAGTCAGAAAAATTCAAATAGTTTTTACTCCCACATATATCATACTATTATTATGAGTTTCAGCGTGTAGTTAGAAGCAGGTAAAGATGATTTCCTTCCCGTTTGGTGCAAGTATTCCATGCTCCTCAATGCCTCTGTGCATGTGATGTTGAAGGTCTTTTCGCTTTCAGATGCTGCTGTCAGTGGTCCTGGCTGTGCTGGGATTTGCGGGAGGAGCGTACTGTGCAGTCATCTCCTCGCTGGGGCTGATTGGGGGCCCTCTGTGTGACACGGGTGATGGAGAATACCTCTACCCTTTCAGGAACAACACTCTGGAGTGAGTATGACTTACAGGCTCCTCCAAATTTGCTTTCCTTGAACACACACACACACACACTCTTCTCATCTTTTCATAGCAAATTGGATTTTTTCCAAAGTGAATGATAGTCCACCCGATCTACACCTAAATTCACATTTCTCTGAGTAGCATGTTCCAGCTGGTCAGCTCTTTGACCAGGAATCATCTCTGGCCAAACTGCCCGAGTTTCTTCTGTTGTACTTGTCAGCAGCCCCTTGTGCAAATTGTACCACACTTTCAAAAGGCTGCTGAGCTGTGACTCCCACTGGAGTCAGAAGGAAGTGTTTCATAACTATGTCCCATTAATCTGTTAAATCATCGTTAGTTGAGTCTACTCTATGCAATTCTGAAAAGCAAAGCAAAAATCTTCTCTGAATCTTTAAAGTTAACCTTGGCAACCATGCTCTTCAAGCCAGAGCTAGAGACGATGGAAGGACTGGATACCACAGCAGCAATAGAGGATATGGAGACACATTTTAAAACCATTATGAATCTTTAGTTATTATCACTGCCATAAAACAAAAGGGAGATTCTTGTGCATGCAACAAAGTACAGACGGGGCTCTCTTCCCCAGTCATCTGTTGCATGTCTGCAAAGGGAATTCTGAAGATAATCACGAGCTTTTACCAATTATAGCAGAATCCAAGACTGACTTTACATTGTGCACACAAGTTCAGAAACTGTAACACAGAAAGCATTCTCAGATTTTAATTTTCTAATACACTGATGATTATTTTGCTCCACCACAGAGAAAATTATTTGTTCAACCAGACAGCATGGAGCATTTGCAAAGAACCTGAAAACATCATCCTTTGGAATATCATCCTTTTCTCTATTCTCCTGGCCATTGGTGTGATTGAAGCTATTCTTTGTTTTATTCAAGTCATCAATGGACTTACTGGCTTCATATGTGGCACATGTATGAGGAAAAGAAAGGTTGGTATGCCGTAAAAGATGTCAGAGTTCTTTATGTTCTTATCACTTTTATTTTTCAGGCTCTACAAATGGTATGTGATGAGAGATCTGCACAGCCCCTGAATGAACTCCGCCGGGGAGCTGAGGCAGTACAGACATATTTGCACACTGTGTCTCTCTCCTTCACATTGTAGTCAGGGATAACTCTGTCAGATATTTCAAAATAGCAGAGCAGTGGGATATATTGACCTATATGATCATGGTTGCATGATTGTGGTCCTATTCAGGAAGCCTTTTTTATAGAGTGTAATGACCATCCAGTATCTGTAAGTGAGAGAGATGACAAGTAGAGGTGGTTTTAATTGGTTAACTGTAGTAAAAATGTCATTTTACAAAATGGAAAAAAAACTCTTTCGAGTTTCATTTATTACCACTTCTTCCTTTTCATTTTTTATTTTTATTCTACAAGATGCTTGCAGTAATCCTGATATCCCTTTGGAATATTAGTTAATTATCTTTCATTCATTGCCTTTCAGACAAACATTTCCGGAATGTGAATGACCTACAGGGGATGCCAAGACAAGCCCTGAGCTACCAATTCATATACAATAAGGATAGTGCACTGTGCTGTGTTTATGGGGGGATGACAAAGGAAACCCAAAATGTACAGGAGTTTCATGGGGCAAAATTAATTTTTTATGAAGAAGTCAGAGTGGCAAAGGACTAGATTATTTAGATCGAAGACTTCAAATTTTCATCTCTCTAGGTATTC